GAAATAGCAATAAAAATCGACATAGATTATAATTGAATTGAACATAAAATAAAATAAAATAAAAAGAAAATTTTAAGTAATATTTTATAAAGTGTTATATAAAATTATAAATAACAAGCATTAACTTAACATATAATTAAGGTTATACTAAAAAATTAAATTAAAAGTTCACATATAATATATTCTAAACGGTACAACGATAATATAACTAATATTTCATTTTCAGTATGTCAAATAATTTTCATACAAAGGACTATTTTATTGTTAGTTTGAATTTAATTAAGTTAATTTATCTAATTATTCTAAAATATAACAGTTAAAGTTTAGGTTTAAATCTTGATATTTATATTTTAAAATCAATCCAATTATTTTTTATATTTTCTCTTTCATAAACGTATTTCAAAAGAAAAATCTAAAAAATCTAATTAAATTATTATAATAATTAATAAATTTTTTTAAAATAAATAAAATTGGTTCCAATAATTATTTACCTTAAATATTTTGTCAAAATATAAGGTTCTTGCATAACATAGTGGTTAAGTGTTGCACTCTTCCTCATAAAAAATTCAATATTTCAAGATGGCATGCGTTGTATCAATTTATTAAAAAAAATGGCACTATTGTTAATATTTATGTGTCAAAAAAAGTTTTCAAAATAATATAAATAATTATGGTGAAATTCATAAAAATTATTATTAATGTAATAGTGATGGAGTTATTAGTGATTCAAAAATTTGTCCTTGTAAATTTTGGTTACTAAATTTGATATATTTAGTGAATATTTTTAATGTCACCGATTTCTTTTATTTTCTTTTTAGTGAATACGGAATATGATGGAATGACTTATGATTTAGCTGCTTAGTATACTCATCATTAAGCAAAAATAATAATAATAAAATAAAATTCTGAAAGAAATTATTAATTCGCATAAAGATCCCATCTTCTTTGTACGTGAAACTTTGACGTAGACTTAAACCACATCTCTATTATTAAGATCAATGAAAAAAAAAGTCAAAAGAGTGATTTTTTTTTTTTTAACAGTTTGGGGAATGGAAACTGAATTACTATTCGGCTCCCTTCGAAAACTGCATTTGTCTTTTTAGTCTATTCTAAAAGAATTAAAAAATGTTTTATAAGTTTAACAATTTATTGAATCGAAATTTGAATCTTTCAAAGTAAAGTTATGCAAATATTTGCGTTATATGCGGGAAGCTAGAAACATTATTTTCTCCTTTCATGCTCGAATATACATTTCAAGGACTATCATCTCTTGAAGTAAATAGGTGATCAGAGTCATAAAATCCCAGAGATCCCACCGTATCAAAGCTCATATGATCATCAATCACATCGTCATCCCAAAGTCTTTCATGGTAGTTAACAGTTGTAGAATCTCTATGATTATCAACTTGGATTTCTCCTGTTATAACGCTTTCGTTGTTGTTTTGCCAATCATTAAGCACATCGACGCAAGTGTATGGAGAAAATTCGGAAACCATAATGTCGTTTAAAACACCTTCATCAATGGCTTTTTCAGATTCCGGTTTTGTGAGCATATCAATGAAATTATTATCTGATGATGGTGGTACCGTACAACTTGAAAAGGGTTGGAATGGCATTGATTGTAGAGTTTGAGGAGGTCGTAGAGGGCCGACACATGGGTTGACCCTAGTGGCTAACTTATTGAGTAGCACTGCCGAAGCTGAGCGTTGCGTTTTGGGTTCGGATGGTTGTGGTTTTGCACATTCTGTGTCTCTCTTGGGACCGGCGGCAGTGACGGTGTTACCCCTGGAGTTTCTGCCGCTTGTTGTCGTCGGATCTATACGTGTTTTAGGTAAGTGCTTCTTGAGATGAGCGTTCCAATGGTTTTTAATTTCGTGATCTGTTCTCCCTGGAAAGTGCTTGGCTATTGTTGCCCACCTTCATGAAAATAAAAATATTAGTACATACATGAGATTGATTATAAAACAAAATAGTTTTAGGGAAGTGTTTCTTGAGATGAGCGTGCCCTTAGTTTTTCTTGAAAAGATATGGAAAGAGAATATATATATATACAACATTCTAAGAAAAGCTGAAGTCAAATCAATGAATGTGTTTAAAAGCAATTTCTAGATGTAGATCAGTGACCTAACCTGTTGCCTAATTGAGCATGAAGTTTAATAATGGTTTGATCTTCGTGAGGCGTGAAGTCTCCTCTCCTAATTCCAGGTTTTAGATAATTTATCCATCTAAATCTACAGCTCTTCCCACATCTTTCAAGACCTGCAAAACCAACATTATATCATCACTTCCACTTCCCACATTCCTACAGCTGAAACTTGCACTTGAATTCAAATGATAGAGAAGATGTGATGATTTACCAGCTTTCTGTGGCAGGGAACGCCACCCACCTTCGCCTTGTTTCTGAACGTAAGAAATGAGCTTGTGGTCTTCTTCAGGAGTCCAGGCTCCTTTCTTCAAACCATCTGAACTGCATGATGGGCTTCTTCCCATTCTGTATAACTCAAAAACAATTCAACTGATGAAATATATGCAAAGTTTCTTTGTTAATTTTGTGAATGTCCAAGAAGGGAAATGAATGGACCAATTCAAATAGAGATACTTTGGCAAGGTCTTAATAAAAAGAGAGAAACTGAAACAAATCCAAAAGAGGTAGATAGAAAAATAGAATCCAAGAGAAGATCGTGTGACGTGATGCGATGTAATACAACTTGCTTTTATTTTTTCAGCGTAATAAGTACTAAATTCCATGTTAGATTCTGTTCGCTTGTTAGCTTTTCCTACGTTTTCTTCTTTCTTTTTGTGTTATCCAAATACAGTAGTTTGTTTTGTTAAAAAATATTCAAAATTATTATGAAGTTTGTAAGCCATATATATAATTAGAATAATTTTTTTATAATTATTAAAATAAACTAATCACTCATGATCGAACATAAGTCTTCTACCCCTTTGCGTGCCTCCTTTTTATGTCCATCCAATAATATTTTTATACTCAGGAGTCTTATTTCACATCAAAACCTATGTAATCTTTAAAAAAAATAATTACTTTTTTTTATTTTACTTCATCTTCAACTTTTAAACCCGTGAAGTACCTACTACAATAGAATTTGGTTATCAAGGGATACTTGTGCCCATCTAAAGCAGCTAATGCAATATTTTAAAAAAATTATTTTTGATTTTTCAAAATGTTTTAAATATTTTTTGGAATTACTGTTTATAAAAATTATAAGTCCTAATTTTATATTTTGACTAAAGTTTAAAAATAAAAATAAAAAATTATTACTTTTATTAGTATGTTATTTTATTAATAAAAACAAAATTAATATTTGAATAATTATTTTATAATAAATCGATACATTAATAATTATAATATAACTTTAAAAAATTAAATTATCCGAATATAAGAAAATTAAAAACAAAAAATTTGATAAGGTAAGCCTTATATTTTGCCAATCAATTCACTTTAACCATTCACAACAACAAGACAAACTATACAACTAAAATTAATTAAAATATCTTAAAGATTGCCAATTTTTAATTATTCTTATTGTTGTTAGACAAAAAAAAGTGTTCACATTGTTTCATGAACCCAATATTAAATTCCACGAACAGCGTTGTTTTGGGATTTTAAAAAAATCACGATTATTGTACTACATAATTATCATATCACAATTGGCTATAAAATATAATAATACTAATTTTCAGTTATAAATTATAATTTTTTTAAAAATTTTACTTGGATTAAAAATCAGTTAACCAATAATTTGATTAAACTTTTAAATAATAATACAAATTTAAATGGTTTCACATGAAAACATAGAAAAAGAGAAAATAAATTATCTTGAACTATTTCCTTCTTAAATTACTAATTGTGAACTTATTTTATAGTATTTAAATAGATCATATCATTGAACATATTTTATTTATGCAACATATTTACTGAATTTAATTGACAACAATTCAACTTAACCCTAATAAGTAAAAAAATGTTGTTTTCTTTTAGGAATCTGAATTCGAGTAATTATATTTGTGAGGTGTATGCATATTGTCAATTGATTAAAAAAACTTTGAACATATAATAAATGGTAATCAATTAAGACTATTAAAAAAGTGACAACAATACATGAGAATTCAAAACACGTCAAATGAGAATTTAAAGAAGGTATAGCAAAATAATTTATGTATTTATTCTTAAAAATTAAATAAAGATAGGAGGGCGAATGATAATTTAGGATGAAGGGGCCATTAATTAGGATGAAGTGTCTGATATTTTATGTTCAGGTTTTATATTTTTTTTAATAATAATATTATTAAAATTTATCTTAAATATTTATTGTATCTTAACACTACGCTCAAAATTTATTCGTAAGTGACAAATCTATTTATCATGGATCGTTCCAAATTATTATTTAATTTATGACTTTATATTACAATAAATGCATACTACGTTTTTAATTAGTTTATATACTTGTATCTAATTTACTACAAAATATGCAATGGAGTTTGATATAATGAATTAAATAATAGCTGGCACGAGACAAACCATGCCTTTTTACCTCCTCTGGGATGTAGGCTTCACCTTTTGATGCCTTGTTCCAATGCCATGAAGTACCAATTCATTCTGATTAGGGACTGTCGGACAACTTTACTAATGTGGTGGACCTGTCTGGCAGCAATCTTTTTGATGTAAATAAAAAAAATTGATAATAACCCTGAGCCTAGCATTTCGATTGGATCTGGTTTTGTTGATATCCCTGTCAAACTTCATGGCTTGTGGAAATTTGTCATATTGATGGGTCAGACGGACAAAATGGGATCAGTCAGTTAGAACACAATGCAAGCTCAAGTTGTGAATAATCTAAGCAGTCGACAAGCAAGCCAGGTTCTCTGAGCAAATTGTGGGATATCTCCTATTGGTGCTCTCATTTCTTTATGGGATTCAAGTTTTTTTTCCCCTTGGAAAGAAAGGTAGTTCTCAACCGGGTTATCATTATAATCGGTGCTCTAGTCCAATCTAGAATCAGATGTGGCCTCATTAATATTTATGTGTCGAACCATCTAGTTGAGAGGAAGGTTTTTATGGATCATTTGGAGGAGCAATCTAGTTAAAAAAATTTAGGCTTATCAGCTTTTAAGTCGAGTCAAGTTCTATTTTAACATTTTAGAGTCGAACTTAGTAATACTCGAGCCCAACTTGACACGTTTACAGCCCTACATGACACGTTTACAGCCCTACAAGAACCTATTAAGTAGTCTAAATAGTTAAAAATAATATTATTCATTTTAGAACTTCTAAGATTAAGCAATTGTATGTTTGCGTTTACAATATACATGTGTTTTATTAATAATTAAAAAAATCCTAAACATATATCATCTTGTAATCATCTTAGAATATTAAAAAACCATTGAAAATTGACACTACATCCAAAATACCATATCTTAAACAATTCTTTGTTTTTCTTGAAGGTTTGTTATCTAAGTTATGTTCAAAATGTATGATTTTTTTTAAAAAGTTAAGTTTTAATTTTATTTTCTAATATATAGTTCATCTTAACATTCTAGTAAAAAATATTAGTAATTTATGCTACAATAAATGCATAATGGGTTTAAGTTATATAACTATATCTACTTTATTATATAAAATAGGCAATAGAGTTTTATATAATGAATTAAATAATAAAAAACTATATATTTATAAAAAATCGTGTCTTTTATTATTAATTAAAAATAAAAAAAACTAAATTATTTTAGATAGAAAAAAAAACTTCCAAATAACATATCTCTAAATTTTAATTTCTATGCACTTACATCAATCTTAAAAATTAGAAAAGGATACAATAAAATCTCTAGAAACTAACATTGTTGAGATCAAGTAATTTCATTAATTTAAAGAGATATTAATTAATCGATAAATTAATAATCTATTGATTTAAAGAGATTTTTTTTTCTATTCAACGAACCTACGTTATCTTTTATGAATGAAACATATACATTATATTGATTAATTGAACGATGTTCATGTACACTGTGACTAACTAAATATAATACATACTCTTAAAAAAATAAAGTTCATTGTAATACGTAGTACTAGTTAAAACTTAATACAAGTTCACCTATGGTAAGGAAATCAAGCATTATATAAACAACATCAAACATTCCTAATTAGTCAACCCAAATCAAAAGTGGCAACCAATTACGCGGAAAGAAACACTCATAGTGGCAACAACTCTTCACAATTTTTTGTTACAATATGAGAACACAACACTGAAACTTTTGGATGCAATAAGGAAAGTTAGAGATGAAATGCAACTAGATTTAAATTTTAAAAAGAAACAAACAACAATAGAATCATGTTTTACTAAGTTGTCCTAGTTATATTTGTAATTTTATAGAATTATTAATTTATAATATTGAAGGGACCATAAGTTTATATAAGGGTCTTCCAAAAAATTATAATCTTATTAGTTTATAGAAATTATTAATTTAGACCTTGAGCCCAATTCGAGACCTAGAAAAATTATTATTTTAGAGAAGCTATTAATTTATCGAGTGCTAATTTATAGAGGTTCTACTTTATGTCACATTTGGCTTTTATAATTTGATAATTTATCCAGTGTTATACATGCACTTTTAAAATATATAATACGGTATCAATACATTGATAAAAATGTCTAATGTTGATTCATATACTTTTAAAATGCCTAATGTTGTACCTATACTTACAAAATACACAAATGTGATAAATGAATTATTATTTGATGTATTAATATAGTACAATGGCGAATCTAGAAACTAGAAAAAATGGGTTCAAAATTCTAGTATTCCATTTTAAGAAAAAATGAATATATAAATTTCTTTATTTTTTTGTTAGTTTTAATATATTAAACTAGATTTAATTATTTTTTTCAAAATAATGGGTATGCAATTGAATCCGATCAAAACCAGATACATCCGCCCCTGCTATAGTACCTGTGAATTTTCATCGGTTGATTTAACACTTATTATAGTATTTGGCACATGCACCATAGTAATGCATAAAATAATAGTTCAGACATGACACTTACTAATGGTGTTAATCCAAAGGAATGATAGTTCAAATGCCTGAACATTTTTTTATATAGGTACCAAATTAAACATTTGCAAAGTACAAGAACTACATTAGACATTGTATAAAAGTAAGATACCATATTACATATTTTATCAAAGTGTATAATTAAATTAACATTCATTTTTTTTAAATTACAATTAAAATCAAATAAAATTTTGTTATCAATTAAAAATAAATCCTAGTTGAGTAGGATAAGTTTGAGTTACAATTACTTTCTATTTGAAAATATAGATGATAGATGCCTTTCAAAACTTCAGCAACATTTTCTAGATTTTTTTTTAACTTATATCTACTTTTACATTAGGTTTTCTTTATAATTTTATATAATTGTATATTCGTTTAATAAATTATATAGCTTTTTGATTTTTTAAATTTTAAAATTTTATACATATTTT